ACTCTGGAAAATTTGCATCCCCAAAAGAAAATACGACAAAGTGAGACCACTCTATCAAGGATGGCTTGGGGTATAGGAAACACTTGTAACCAAAAAGAATGTACTCCCTGAATAACAGATTTAACCAATTCAGTTTTACCAGCATATGACAATGTCTTGGTGTTCCAAGAGCTGAGGTAATCAGAGATCTTTTCCAAAAGGGGAGCATATTCAGCTATAGCTAGTTTAAGGGGGGAGAGGGGGATGCCGAGATACTTGACTGGGAAGGCTCCAACTTTGAAGTCCACCAAGTCAAGTATGGCCGTAAGGTCATAGTCTCTAACACCACCTAAGAAGATATTTGATTTGTCAAAGTTAACTCTTAACCATGATACCTCCCCAAACTCATTTAATGCATCAATAAAAACTTTAACAGAATATGTATCACCTCTACAAAACAGCATAAGGTCATCAGCATAGGCAAGGTGTGAAATCTTTAAACTACCACACTTGGGATGATAGTTAAAATCAGATGTGGTTTTCAAGTTCAACAATCTTGACAAATATTCCAAACATAAAACAAATAGGAGCGGGGACATTGGATCACCTTGTCTTAAGTCCCTCTTCCCTCTAAAAAAGCCATGTAATGTTCCATTAATGGAGATAGAAAAGGAAGCGGTAGAAACACATTCCATAATCCAATTAACAAATTGTAAAGGAAAGCCAATGTTAAGGAGTGCACTGTAAAGAAAGTCCCAAGATATGGTGTCATAGGCTTTCCTGAGGTCCACCTTAATCATACACCTGGGGGAGCAATGCTTTCTAGTGTACCCCTTTACCAATTCCTGTGCAAGGAAAATGTTATCCATCATAAGCCTCCCATCTACAAAAGCCCCCTGGGCATGGTCAATTAGCCCCGGTAAACATGGAATCATTCTATTAGCAATGATTTTAGTAATGACCTTGTAAAGGACATTTGTACAAGCAATTGGTCTAAAATCAGCAGCGGTGGGGGAGTGTGAGGTTTTAGGGATTAAAGCAATAATCGTGTGATTAATTTGCTTTAATAACCTACCAGACTCAAAAAAGCCCCTCACGACATCAACCACATCTTCCCCAACAATTGACCAATTTTCTTTAAAAAAGGCAGAGGTAAAGCCATCCGGCCCCGGGGCCTTGTCATCCCCTATATCAAACATAGCATTCTTAATCTCAATGTCTAAAACGGGAGAAGTCAGCCCTAAAGCTTGATCCATACCCAGACATGTCCCGGATGTAATTATGCTAGGCTTAATTGGAGGACAACTTACCGGAGTTCCAAACAAATTGACATAAAAATTCTCAAATTCCTTTGCAACTTGATCCATAAAGGTAGTTAGTTCTCCATTAGCTAACTTTAAAGCCGTAATGGAGTTCTTAACAGACCTCTTTTTCACAATAGAGTGGAAGTATTTGGTACATCTATCCCCTTGGATCAAATGAATAGCCTTCACTTTTTGCCTTTAAAAAGCATCCTCGGCCATCTTAAGAAAAAGCACTCTCTTCTTAGCTATTTGGACTTCATTCTTTAAGGTATCATCTAAAGGGGAAAGTAAGAGAAGACTATGTAATCTCTTAAATTCTTTCTTTGAGTCCTTTACCTTAGAAGAAATATGAGCAAAAGCATTCTTGTTAAGTTCCTTGAGTGGTTTCTTAAGAGCTTGGAGTTTCTTAACTAACCGAAATTGAGCATTGCCCATTACAAACATAAACCAATTCTCATGAAGTATAGAGGGAAAGGACTCATGTTTAAGCCATATGTTCAAAAATTTGAAGGGTTTTGACCCCAAAGGGGGGTAATGGCCGAGAGTAACCAAGGGTGCAACATGGTCACATTCCACCTCCATATCATGAAAATGTGTTTTGCAAGTAATACCATTAGTATTCCAAAAAGAATTCATTAAAACTCTATCCAACTTAGCCCAAAGTGAACCCCTATTCCAAGTGAAAAATTCACCGGTGGAAGGGGTGTCAACAAGGTTTGCATTAAGCTTGAAATCAACCAAGTCTTGTAAGTAATAAGCCGAGGGGGTGAGGGGCCAATCCTTTCACTAGGGGAAGAAACACAATTGAAATCCCCCATAACTAGCCAAGGACTACTTATGTTAGATCCCAAATTGGTAACATGATCCCAAAGGGTTCTCCTCACCCCAACCGAGTACAAGGCGTAAACAAAAGTAACCATAAAATTCAATTGGGTGGTCTTACATACACATTTGCAATGAATATGTTGTTTGTCAATTTCAAGCACATCTACGTCAACATAGTTCGTATTCCACATAAGGGCCATGCGGCCACCATCAATAGTATCAAAATTAGTAATAGAAGACCAAAGAGGCCATCTATTTTCCTTAAGATTTTCAAAATTAGAAGAAGACATTTTAGTTTCAAGCAAACAACACATATGTACATTATGAGCACGAATAAAATTAAAGATAAGAGATTGTTTTGAGACCTTATTAAGGCCTCTTATATTCCATGCCGTAATAATCATTAAACAAGTGAGTTGGTTCCCCCATCATCCTTGACCTTCTTTTTTCTTCCTTGCCACAGCCTTATCTTCCATGTGTTTCCTTGGAGACCATTCTCACTAAAGTACCTACCAAGAAAAAGATGATGTATATTACGCATAAAGAAAGAATTAAAAGCATACCCATCCTCCACTTGAATGACTCCGGGCAGCCCCTCTAGGCAAGATTTGGTGAATGTAATCCCCGGTGCATCCAAGTCATCGGTGACATCTAGGCAATTATCAAGTCTCACTAGCTTTTCCCCCGACTTCATGGTAATTTCTAGATCATTCATGTGGGCCACGTGAAGATCGGGAGGCTTCTCTTCAATGAAGTCTACTTGGATGACCACATCATCATGATAGCTATCTCGGATATCATTAATAACTCTTATTTCCAAGTCAACATCTTCCTCTTCTTCTTTTGATGTTCCTTGTCCCTCTTCCTTGTTTTCCATGAGTTTATTAAGCTCATTCACTAGTTCTTCTTCCTTTTGTTCTTCTCTTTCAAAGGTAGATGTGGAAATGGTCAAGCAAAGGGGGTTTTCTTCTACACTTGTGGCTTCCTCTTCAATTATCTCCCCTTCCTCTTTCTCAACACAATCTGCCGCGGGCTGGTCATGCTTGCTCTTGGAGGTCTCGGCCCTTGGATGCTCCTCATGATAGCATCTATTTTTAGCTTTGATAGTATAGATTTGCCTTCTTTGTTCTTGGACATGATATGTAGTATTCTTCCTTGGTTCTTGGGTAGGAACTTCTTCCTCTCTTTCTTTCCTTTCCAAATCATGGAGTATTTTGCATGTGAATGGGTGGTGACCAAACATCTTACAATGGAAGCAATAGTTTGGAAAGGTCTCATACACCACACCTTGGCTATATATCTCCTCGGATGGAAGCTTGACATCAAATTGGAGTGGAGGGGGCTTGGCCGCATCTACTTCAATTAGGACACGGGCATATGAGGATCTAGCTTTCTCTTGTGTCACCCTATCCGTAGCCAAAGGTTTCCCCACTCTAGATGTCACGGCACTTACGATATCCTCTCTCCAAGCACTCATGGGCAGCCCATGAAATTTGACCCATATAGGCACTTTGAGGAATTCATCACTATGTGTTGAGAAGTTATCATCAAGGACTTTCAAATAGCACATTTTCCCATAGATGGAATGGGGTCCATCTAGGAGTACTTGATCCCTATCCACCTCCCTTTGGAACTTGAAAATAATCTATCCTTTGCTATGTGGTCTAGCTTTGCAAGGAACCCCCACTTTTGTATCATAGCATTGACGGCTTTAGGTCCGGGGAAGGTTCCAACAAAGTATCCAACAAGGCAATGCCCCCAAAGGTCCACAATTGATGGAAAGGTATAGTTGTATAGGTCCACCATATCCCCGATGGGTGGAACATATGTGAGAGTTATACCTTGCTTTGGTTCTTTATTGTTAGCAAATAGAGAGGTCCACGGCTTAGGTTTTTCAACTTGGACAGCCTCCTTAATTGTGTGTGAGGTAGATGTTCCTCCTCCCTTTGACTTATCCTTGGTTCTTCCCAATGACTTGAGGTAGATGTCATCATCATCACTTACCACTTCTTCTATAATCACAATTTCTTTTCCCTTCTCATTGTTATTGTCACTGTTTTCCCAAACCCGAGGGGGTAAGCTCCACCAAGGGTGATTTAGGACTCACATTAATGGGGCTAACAGCTATGGGAGGTTGGTCATCAATGCTTCATTTAGAAACAGTCACCAAAGTAGTTGGTTTCTCTATTAATATCTCATCATTATTAGGAGTGACATTCAATTCCTTTTCCATGGTTTCGGCCTCATTTATGGGTATAAGAGGTACCTCATTAATGGGGTTCACCACTCCAATTTCAGGCTCTTTATCACCATCCACCTTCTCCCCCACAGTAGTATTCCCCTCTAGACATAAAACATCACCCTTCAAAGTTTCAATCAAAGATAGGTTACCTTCGGCAGCCCTTCTTTGATATCAGTAAAAGCTTTATTTTGGGTTGGTCCATTCAAATGAACCCCAAAAACTGTTCAAAAAGTTTGTAAAAGCTCTAGATGTTGACTCACCAAATAATATAAATAACAATTTTTAGCCTATTAGCTCAAATAGTAGAGCGATGTGCCATAAACACATAAATGTGGTTTATTTATAGGGAAAAGTACGGATAAGGTCATTGATAGTGATAACAATAATATCAACAACAACAATAATAGTACAATCAATGATATTTAACCAACAATTCTAATTTAACCAACGAAAACAAAAGTAATCAATATTGCACAAGAGATTGAATACGTTAAGCTCATTTTTACAAAATCAAGTTTTGTTAAATCACATATATTTTATAAATATAAAATAACTCAAATAACTTGTAGTTGATTGCATATATTTTACTTCACTATCTTCATGATATTTGTAACTATTAGATTTATTGTAAATTATACTTTTTTTTCTCCCGGAAGGCCAACCACCAAAATCAGTGGGGTAAATGTCGGGAGACATTTACCGAGATATTATTAATATAAGAGAAAATACAAAAAGAGAGGGGGACTAGATCAATACCTCTCAGCATTACAAACCAGGAATTGAAACAAACTAAATGTATACTAAAATCTAAAAGAGGGAATCTCAAAAAGATCCATGTAGTAGGCCTGTTTAGCTTGGGTTGGCAGATCACAAGCACGATAAACAACCTGCGTTTGGGCTGGATATTGGGCCGCCACAAAATGCGCCGTCCAGTTTCCTTGACGCCATACATGGGAAAAGGAAACCCCTTTCCTATTAGCTAAGATCTTCATTTTCTGGATGGCGTCTCCCCATCTTCCTTGCTCTCCATCAACGACATACTTCAAAGCCAGAGTGGAATCCGTTTCCACCAATAAGTTACTGTATCCAGCTTCCATCGTCCAAACCGTAGCCAAGATAAGAGATACCAGTTCCGCCTCGAGACAAGAAGAAGCCACAATCGGAAAAGAAAGAGCTAAGACAATCTCACCTGTCGAGTTCCTCAAAATAGCACCACCTGCAGATTTTTGAGGTAAATAGCTAGCATCCGTATTCAATTTGAATTTACCCTGAGGTTTCTTCCATTTGATGACTTGAATCGTTGGACGCTTGATTTTGAAATTGTTGGGAATAAGATGCTCTTCATATAAAATATCACTGATAGACCTTACCTTCATATTCGGGAAACTTCTGACCCACAATTGTGTGTACAACTTAATAGTAGTTATTAGAGAGTCTGAAGAAGGAATACGAGTTTCTGAGCCCCAAGTAATGCTAGTGTAGACTTTCCAAACATGCCAACTTATAATTCCTGGTAGGTTATGTTTGAAAATGTCCACCAATTTCATGCTCCCTGCCTTAAACCACCAAGCCATATACACCTGCTTAATAGTAATAATATTATTCTCATAGGGAATTCCAAAGATACCCATAAAATAGACCCAAATAGGCCTGATTTTAGAACAGCTAAACAGAATATGGTTCATATCATCCTCATGGGTTCTACAGAAAGGGCAAATGGAGGGATTAAGAACATAGTTAAACCTGCCCAGGTTATTAGTGAAAGGAAGAATGCTTTTCAAAACCTTCCAAACAAATAGTTTAATTTGCAAACTTTGCCTAGGGTGCCAAGCATGTTTGTATGAGAATGAAGATGGAAGGTCCTGCCTAACCATATTGTATCCTGAAGAGAAACTGAATTTGCCATCATCTTGAGGAGTCCAAATAAGAGCACCAGAGGAAGAGGTATCACAAAAAGAGATAGCTAGAGAGTGTATCCCACAAATCCTCCTCCAAACAGGGGAGTCAGTTACTTTAGGGGTCATATTGTCTCCCCTAAGGTATCTGGCCCTAATAAACTCAGTCCATAGGGTAGTAGAGGTCTGCCATTTCCACCAAATTTTAATGCTGAAAGTTTTTTCCACCTCCTCTATAGACCTTAACCCTAGTCCCCCTTCCTCAGTAGGCAATCATAGTTTGTTCCATTGTAACCAGTGGTATTTAGGCTTCATATTAGAAGACCCCCAGAAAAAAGATGCCATTTTACTTTCAAGAATCCTGATTGTCTTCTTTGGCATGTTATCTGCAGCTAGGATATGGCTGGGAATAGAGCTGAGAACATGTTTTATTAGAATAAGTCTTCCCCCCAAAGATAAGTTCTTTTGTTTCCATGGTGTCAACTTCTTCTCAAACTGATTGATTAAGTCAAGTGTATAATTATACACTGTTGATGCCCTTATGTAGGTACACTCCAAGATACTTTACAGGTAGTTTAGCCTCCTTCATGCCAAGAAGTGTTTCCATAATACGAATTCTGCCTGGAGTATGGGCCCCACAAATGAAGGCACTCTTCTGAAGATTGACAGACTGTCCAGATGCACCCTGGTAAGCCTGAATGAAAGTGTTAAAATTCTTTAACGATCTTGATTCCCCATTAAGAAATATTAATAAATCATCCGCAAATCCAAGGTGGGAGACAGGATAACCCAATGAGCCCATCCAAAATGGTTTAATAAAACCCTTCTCAAAATTCCAATTCAGGCCTCTAGAGAAAGCTTCTGAGGCCAAGATAAAAAGAAAAGGGGACAAGGGGTCCCCTTGTTTGACCCCCCTTTTAGGTTTAAAGAAACCATGAGGCACCCCATTAATCAAAATAGATAAGTAAGTAGCCTCCAAATTATTCATCACCAATCTAATGAAAGTATGGCAGAACCCAAATCTCTGAAGGATAGAGGCTAAGAACTGCCATGAGAGCTTATCAAAAGCCTTCTTCATGTCTAACTTGATAATAACATTTGATCCTCTTACTTTTTTTTCTAAAGAATGTACCATCTCCTGTGCAATTAAAATATGTTCATGAATGTCTCTTTGATTCATAAAACCCGCCTGCTCTGCTGAGATTAATTTTGGAAGCACAGTAATAAGTCTAGCAGCCAACACCTTGGTACAAACCTTATTAACAAAATTGGACAGACAAATGGGTCTAAAGTCACCAAAATTATCAGGATTATCTTTTTTGGGAATCAGAACAATTAAACTGCTTGCCATACCTTTGGGGATAGGGACACCCAAGAAATATTCTTGAACTGCACTCACCACATCTGATTATTGTAAATTATACTACTAGCAAATAGACTGCAATGATAATTCTATAACTATACATGCAAACTCAATATATTTTTTAAGGTTTGAAATACTTGGAGTGGACGTCATATCTTGCTACTGTGATGATGAACAATCTTCCTATCTTAACTAAGATTTTTATGTTCTACTTATTAAATGAAAATTGAAACTTTCTTTTATTCTATTAAGTCTTCACTTAATTAAATTTGGGCTTTGATGTTTGAAGTTATTAGAACTTTAAATAAAATTGTAATACTTGTGTTTGATTTTCTTTTTAACATTTTAATGTGGTAGAAAGTAATAAAAGTGTCATTTATTAGATGAGGAAAAAATTATTCGAGGGATCGATAAAAGTAAGAATCGAACCGTTTAGTATTGGTTTGATTCCATAACGGTTCTTGATTTTTTACACAAGAACCGAACCGATTTCATTAGTTAAAATTTTTGTAACGGTTCCACCAATTTTGAGTAAGAACCGAACCGGTCCCAGGCCTAAATAAACTAATTTTTTCGCTACCGCGAAAAAGTGCAACAAAAACAAGCAAAAGTGAAAGCGAAACATGAAAAAGTGCAAGTTTCGCACTTTGCACGGGAACACTACTTTTTATTTGAACTCTTCCCAATATATATTTGGAAGAACTCGAGGTTAGAGATGCTATTTGGAGACTGGGTTCTGATGCAGGCATGCAGCTCCAGGACCAGATGGCTTTGGGGAGCTTTCTACAAAGGATGTTGGGATATCATTAAACTCGATGTGATCCTTGCGATTCAGGAATTTTTCCTGGGTTTTGCCATTCCTAAGGGTGTGGGAGTGTCAATATGGTTCTTATCCTTAAGAAGAAAAAACCGGTGTCCTTCGGGGATTTTCGGCCTATTTGCTTGTCTACTTTTATTAGTAAAATCAATACGAGGATCTTAGCTTCTAGATTGATCAAAATTTTGCCAAAAATTATTTCGAATGAACAGTCTGGTTTTTTGAAGGGAAAGGAGATGTAACATCAAGTCTTAACGGCCCTTGAGGTGCTGCATCACTTGGATAGAAAGGTTAGGTCTTCTAACCTGGTGATTAAGTTAGACATGGCAAATGCCTTTGACAGGGTGGCCTGAGATTTTCTTGACGCTATTTTAGCTCGGTTTGGTTTTGCTTTGGGGTTCGGAAACTTATTATGGGTAACCTACGGGCAGCTTACATTTCTATTCATATCAATGGTGAGCCTTTTGGTTTTTTCCAGCCGTTTAGAGGGGTTAAGCAGGGGGGTCCCCTTTCCCCTCGTCTATTTATTATTATGTCGGAGGCCTTTTCTAGAGGCTTAAACTGGCGGATTGCAGCAGGACAAATTCAGACTTTTAATTTGGGAAGGGGCTTTCAAATTTCCCATCTAGCTTTTGCGGACGACCTCATGATTTTTCTCAATGGGTCTGCTAGATCTATTGGGAATTTCTCTAAGTTTTTGAACTTGTACCAGAATTCTACAGGGCAGTTGGTTAATAAAGAAAAGAGCTGTTTTGTGATCGGAAAGCATGCATCAGCAGGCAGAATTTTAAACATTCAGCATGAACTTGGTATGAAAGCTTCTAAGTTACCCTTCAAATACCTGGGGGTGCAGTTACACAAGGGAGTCACTAAGCTGACTCACTGTAAGGAAATCTTAGAATCTTTTGATTCTAAACTATCAAGCTGGAGGCAGAAAACTCTCTCCCAGGGTGGGAGGTTGACTTTAATTAAGCATGTATTGAGTTCTTTGCCTCTTCATGTGTTGGCAGTAACCAAAATCCCCAGATCAGTTATAAATTTAAGTAATAAAAAGATAGCTGACTTCTTTTGGGGTTTTAAAGATGGCAGGCCTAAATATCACTGGGCAAGTTTTAAGAGGATTAGTAAACCTACACAGGTGGGAGGAATTGGGATCAGATCTTTGGCTGATATCCAAAAGGTCTCGGCCATGAAGCTTTGGTGGGATTTTCAGAATGGGGATTCAATCTGGGCTAATCTCATGCAAAGCAAGTATGGCAGGAGGGCCTTGGGGGAGTCTAAACTTCCGGATTCTCCAATTTGGAGACGGATTTGCCAAATCCATTTGGTGGCAGAAGAAAGGGTGGATAGAGGTCCTTCCTCTATTAGGTGGAAGCATACATCTAATGGGCTATTCGGTGCTAGGTCGGCCTACATGTCTTTTTGGTCAGGGGAGAGGACTATATCAAGCACAAATATATGGCATCCTAAACAAATTCCTAAGGTGAGGGTTTTCCTTTGGCGCTTGTGGCATAGGTGTCTGCCATTCCCAGAGAGGCTAACCAAATTTGTTGTAGTATATCCCTCCCGGTGCCCTCTTTGTTTAGTGGACTCAGCCTCGCAGGATCATGTGCTCCTGAATTGTTCCTTTTCGAGGCCTATATGGGATTTTTTGAAAATACTCTTCTGCAAGGAGGACGAAGGACAGATAAGGTTAAAATGGAATTTTTAAAATGGTGGGCTGTGGGAGTAGGGAAGTCGATGGATAAAATATATCTATCAGTTTTACCTGGTGTGATTGTATGGCAGATCTGGAAATGCTACTGGGAGGTTGTCTGGAAGGAGGGGGAGCCAAATAGGGAAGGAACCATCAATCAGATCTGCAAAAGTATGGTGGCATGGTGCTATGCGAATGAAAATTTGAAAGGATGTGAGAAACTTAGGAGGACTGCTCTCTTACCTGGCAGGTTCAGGGCGAGGAAGCCAGTCTTCCGATGGGTCAAGCCGCGATTGGGGTCGGTCAAGCTAAGTTGGGCGCTTCATAGACAAGATGGACGGACCTCGGCTGGTCTTCTGCTTAGGGATCATGATGGAGAAGTAGTGGCGGCAGAAGGTTATCCGTTGCGTGTGTCGGTGGTGGAAGATGGAAAGTTTCTGGAGAAAGTGTTCGAACAAGCAGCTGAATGGGTAAAGGAGATTAATGTAAGGCATCTAGACATTGATGTTGGGTATCCAATATTGCATATGATAAATTTAAAAAAAAATCAGCTAAAAATAGATGTTTAGAAAAAAACATTTTTTTATAGAATATTGGTACCATTGAATGGATCATAAAAGATTATCAAATCTGATATATTTCTTTATAAAAAATTGGACCAAAAAATATAAAAGTTTATTCATATAACAAAAAATTTAATTGATATTTAGAGGGATGAACAAAATAGAACACACCCCAGGGTGCCTTTGATCCGCCGGTGGCTGTTGGCCTGTTGATATGAAAGTATGAAACAAATTCAAAATATACTAGGATGGAGCTTGGTGTACACACTATTTTGGTGTACACACTTTTACACATGTCAGTGTAGAATTTTTTTTTGTTTGTACAGACAAAACGTGTTCCAGACAAAACGACACTATTTTGGTGTACACACTTTTACACGTGTCTGTGTAGGCTTTTTTTGTCTGTACACGTTTTGTCTTTACAGACAAAAAAGCCTAGACAAACATGTGTAAAAGTGTGTATACTAAAATAGTGTGTACAATAGTATTTTTGAATATATTATTCCTGTCCTGGAAAATTATCTTCTGTGATACTACTTACTCCGTAAGAGAATCTCCGATGATAAAATGTGCACGGTGCACATGTGACATGAAAGATGACAACATAAAGATTGATAAATAAATTATCTCTCTCCTTATTTAAATGATTTTATTCAATTTTATAAATGTTTTTAACGATGTCAACTACGATGTCTACATTTAAACGGTCTCCTTGACATTGCAGAAAAAACTTACCAAAATTGTATAAAATCATTTGAATAAGAAGATAAATAATGGTAAAATTGATAAGAATAATCCATGCTTTAATCAATTAAACAAAAATAATGCCTACTTCAAATATGTATGCCATTAATCCAAACCTCCCATATGAGTGCCGGAAATAAAATAAATGAGACAGAAGTCATTTTCTGTCCGGACCTTCTTTGCGCACCCCAACTTCTACTTCGCACACCCACAATTTACCATACTTGGACTTTTTTATCCCTGGATTCGTTTTCTTATGTTTCGTTCCCATCATATATAAGTCATACTGAAATAGTGAAATGAGTGATCCTACTATTCATGCCTAATTACTTACTGAATTTATTTCAACTAGGAATACAAATCCCAACTACTATTAAGTAATTATTATATTATATTATTATATAATTATATTATTATTATTATTATTACTCCCTCCGGTTCTTAATTAACTTCACACTTTGACTTCAGACAAATTAAGGAAATAAATTTGACTTTACTGTAGAGTATATTGTTGTGACACTGTTTGGCACTGTTTTGCACTATTTTAATTTGCATTGTTTCGATGTAGATAATTTGCCAAATAAGGAAGGGAGAAGAAGTGAGAGGTTAATTTCGAGACTGCCCAAAAAGGAAAGTGGGAAGTTAGTTTCGGGACGGAGGGGGTATTAGGTAAATGTTATTACTACTCAATTATTATTATTATTATTATTATTATTACTATTACTATTATTATTATTACTATTATTACTATTATTATTATTATTATTATTATTATGATTATTATTATGATTATTATTATTATGATTATTATGATTATGATTATGATTATTATTATGATTATTATTATGATTATTATTATTATGATTATTATGATTATTATTATGATTATTATTATGATTATTATTATGATTATTATTATGATTATTATTTTGATTATTATTATGATTATTATTTTGATTATTATTATGATTATTATTATGATTATTATTATGATTATTATTATGATTATTATTATTATTATTATTATTATTATTATGATTATTATTATTATTATTCTTGTTATTATTATTATTATTATTGTTATTATTGTTATTATTGTTATTATTATTTTTATTATTATTATTATTATTATTATTATTATTAAGTAATTACTATTACTACTAAATTATTATTATTATTATTCAATTGACTCATGTATTGCATGGGTGACAAATGAACTTAAGAGTCTGTTGGTAACTTATGTCTTCTTCTTATCAATATTATCATCCAATTTTTTTTATTATCAAATACTTTGTTATCACATTTTTTATTTCATGTTATTTCATATTTTTCGGTTATCAGCCAATCTATTCACCAAACATGTAATTTTTTATTTCGCGCACTGAACTGTGTAATACGGAGTAATAAAAAAAGTAAAGTTGTTATTACTTTTGTGACATTATTGGATGAATTTACCGTAAAGGACCATTTTAGCTATTTTCATATAATTTTTTCTTTATTTCATTAATAAAAAATATTTTTAAATACATTTTATTCATAAATCAACAGAATCGGCAAATCCAACCACAACTTCAAAAATTTCAGCAGAATAAGTCGATTCAGCCAATTTCAGTGTTACCAAACAGGCTCTAGACGAGAGACTACACCAAAATTTAGAACTTTTTTAGACTTTTCAGGTTTAATTTAAAAAATATTGATCTTAGTGTGATATTTTTTTGTAAAGACCGAGTCATAAATGTGAAACTTATAACATTTTATAGAAAACTTGTTTACAACAAGCCACCAAATTATTTTTTAGAGTTAATTTTAAAATGTAGTAGGGACTCCGGGCATTTCACGTGTGAAGGAAGCTATTGTTTTTTTTTTTTTTGAAATACGAAGTGTGAAGCTATTGTTAAGGAACAAATTTAATTAAAGAATTGAAAAGGACAAAGTAGTCTACAAAGGGTTACATAAAGTAAAAATGGAGGCACGCCTAGCAATACCCTTTTCCATCTGAACTGACGTTACTCTTACCTACACCCCCAACGAATCCCTAACACAAGGCAGATCTACCTTCTTCTCCATCTTCTTAATATTTGAATCTCCGTCTCTAAGGTCTAATTTCTTAAACAACACATGGCCACATGAGAATAATGAGATTGAGATGAAACCTATCCATGATTCAGCCCCTCTTAAATACAAGCATTGAAATGAATAGTGAAGTACAACAATGGCGTTTCTTCTACATTGCAGAAGGTGTCCTCACGTTCAAACTTATCATTCGAATTGCAGTGAGCCATTTTTAAAAATCAGCCCAAACTGAAATACGGAGTATTATATTTATGAAAAATCAATCCCTTATCTACCAAGAATTATATTTACAAAGAAATAGTGGATGAAATCTTTCTGGAAAGTTTCAGTGCTAATTACACTAGTAAAAAAAATGGCTTATGGTGACATTAAATTAGTGTCACTAAAAGATTTAGTGACACTCTGAAAGTGTCACAGAAAAGCGGGGCTAGTGACGCAAAATTTAGTGTCACCGTTAACAAGTCACTTTTGTGTCACAAAATTATGACATATAAACATCATAGCGAACTGTGATACATATGTAACAAGGATTTTTGTGATACCAATGCATCATGTTATTTTGTGATATATACATATACTAATAGAAAAAGACCTTACAGTGACATCAAATTAGTTGTACCAATGCATCATGTTTTTCATCTTTCTTTCTTCCCATTCCTTCTCTCCTTTCAACCCCTGCTCAACTACTTGACTGAAGGTCATGTTGGGCAATTGTGTTGCCGTCATCACAGACATACTCCGGTATGAACTCCGCCAGCTCCCTGAATTTGTGTTCAAGTTGCCTCACCGTCATTTTGCCACCCTGGGTCAGGAGGGTATACTCTCTCCTCTTAGCGTTCACCTCAAAATCGGAATAGTATTGGGCAAAGAACTCCTGTCGGAAATTCTCCCAAGTCACGGTCCTGCCATACTTGCCCTTGGCCCCGTCCCACCATGTGGATGCCATCCCTTCAAGCAATCTCACCGCCACCCTGAGTTTAAACTCGGGGGTGAGTTGCATATCAAGGGCTGCTTCGTTCAGTCTCTTGATCCATTCCGCGGCGACCGAGATGTCACCCGTTCCATTGAAGGGTTTGCACCCCAAGTCCCTCGCCTCCTTGAGAAATTTTGAGATCCTTATGATTGGACCTCCATCACCCCGGCCCCCACGTGGTTCAATGTGGGCCCTAGAGTCACCATGGCTTCTTCCTCTTGAAGTCCTACCCGAAGTTTGCCCCCCTCGGCGCCTTCGGCGTTCCCTCCTCTCTTCGCGCTCCCGCTGGTATTGCTAGAGCAGCGTCTCAATTCTTGCTAGGGAGTCATTCTCCCCATCTTCATCACTCATATCATCATCATCCCCTTCGTAAGGGGTCTCAACCGGCTCGGTCTCCGGCTGGTAAGTCGAGTCCTCATAGGACCAGTAGGTTTCATCCTCGGTGTTAACATGGCCGTCGCTCACAGAGTGCGATCGGCCTCCACGGCTCGCCCCTCTAGACACTCTAGAGGCCCCACGGCTCCCCTGCCCGGTCCCCACCGGTGCACGGCCCGTCGGGTTCCTTCTCGTAACCTTACCACCACCGTCCATTTCTGAAAGAAATTTTGGAAAGAGTCATTAGACTCGTATCAAATGTCAATTGACGGATAGGTACTTAAGACACTACTTGGCTCGAATTGTCTCCATACCAATTGCTAAGGGTACCATCTTAACAATTAGAGGCATTGCAGCTCAAGTACCAAAAGTTCTATAAGTACAAAACATTTATGCTCATGGTTTTCAAAATCATTTGGAAAAAGAATTTTTTGAGTCTTCATTATGAAGTTTATGGACTAAGGCTCTGATACCAATTAAATTGTCACGCCCCGGACCTATCCGGACACGTCAACAATCCGCCGTACAATATGAATAGTCAACCGCATTCCAACTCATCCATATTATACAAGGCGTCTCGAATATCATTCACACATAAGTCATCCATAAACATACATAATAAGTAATTCAATACGCAGCGGAAATCATGGTTTGGATACAAGTGTCACACGGGGCAAACACGAGCACGCAGGCTCCATAATAAAAAACAATATCCATGAGCATGTTTTAAAATGTTTAAAATCAGAATGGAGGAAGCACGAACCAAGTCTTCCCCTCCGAGATGATCGCCCGATCAACAAGCACAGGTAGCAAGCTCTAGCCTCAACCTGAAATGGTAGTGGGACGCCCCCCGAAAGGGGGTCAGTACTCTATACAGCTATAAAGTACTGGTGTGGATGGTATCTAATAGATATACAACAAGTATTTCAAACACAAGACCCTCAAATAGGGTGATAATATAATTCTAGGTCGTAACCCGAAGTTACCCCTTTTTAAAATATACTTACTTTATATATAAAGTCAAGTAGTCGGCTCATGGCCCAAAGTTCGTTTTCAAAACATAAACCAAACCCCGTGACCCCTAGTCACGACAATACATAGGGTTCAACCCTAACACACATGTTTGCATTTCTCGAGTCCAACTCGACTACATCACCATGCATATCAATCACAAGTCAATTACTCCACCAATCTCCAACGTCATGTTCACCCATGCAATTCTAGAGCTCGGCTCAAGTACATCTCCTTAAATGGGCTGAACCTAATCCTTATGTCTACCCAATGCAATTCTAGAGCATCGGGCTCAAGTACATCTCCTTGCATTGGCATAGACCCCAATTCCTAAGCACTCGCTATGCCTAGAATTGTAATATCAATAATCTATTTCGGGACATCCTTACGGACTGCCTTATCATGATCTTAGCATCACATTACAACAATTTACTCACTTGACCCACAATCAAGTATATCACTTACAATCAAATCCTTAGATTCAATTTCTTAACAATTACAAACAATCATTAACTAGTATTCCAATACTATTAAGATTATTCCCATCAATCATATGTTTCATTTTTAAATCCCTACATATTTAGAAATATGTAGCAGCAACTTAGTCATCCAATGTAATACACAAATAATCATTTATGTATCTACACAATTCACACACGAGTAAAAATGCATATTTCACACAATAGTTCATTTAACTCCATTTTTATCAATATGATTTCCAAATCATTTGCAATTTCATTACTTATCTAATATATCAATATTTCATCAATAATCAGTCATTATAATCCATGAAAAACATGATTTAGGCATTTAGGTAATCTCATGCTTAACCTACAAGTTGTAAGCAACTAGATGTCGATCCTCACCTTAAATGAGCTTTAAATTTCTCCTTCTTGATCCAATGGTCAGAGCTTCGGCCAAGGTGGATTAAGAACTGATTCCTTGCTTAAATATGAGTGTTAAGCAGCCTCCTCACAGTGCTAGCTCAACCCCTAAACGTCGACACGAAAACAGTCCCTAGAATGGGTGTTTTCCGGCGAATTCGTTCCCTAACCTCTCAAGGTTTTATCTAGGTTAGTATCTAACCTTTCCAACAAATAAGGTACCCATATAATAACATTTTATACACTTGAAATAGTGTATAATAGTTACACCAATCTTTCATATCATTTGGAAAATGAAAAGAAAGGTTTTGGAGTTAAAACTCACTTTGGAAAGGAAGATCTGATTCTGCTAGGTTTTGTTTTGTTCGGATGATTTGGAAGCCTTATACTGCTTCGTTTTCTTCAAACCGCACGCCTATGGATTCCTCTTTTCGAGAGATTTCAGTGGACACCTGCCACGCCTCTTTTTTATGAGTAGAACTCGAGATACGAGTCGCACAAGGAGGCCAACGCACTGGAACTTCTCCCTGCGGCCAGAATCCTCTCCCTCTCTCTATTCTCAAGTTTATGCGGCTCTCCCTTCCTCCTTATCCTTTGAGTTCAAATGGGGTGTGAGGGGAGGTGTTTAGAAGCTCTCAAAAGGTTATCCTAACATGTGGTTCACAAAAATAATAGGTAGGGTGTTTGATTCCAATCAAACATGGGATGGTCCTCCTCTTTTATTTCTCTTTTGTATTGTTTGAGCTCTCAACTCAATAGGTCCGCCCAATTAATGAGTTCTAACTTATTCTACTTGTTTTGTAGGTGATAGGAAGGTGTGGGGCGTACTCTCATGTCCCCTAATTAATTTGGGAGCAAAATATCTACCAATACATCCAAAAGTGGAAAGATTGGTCCTATCATTTTTGTCATTTGTCATAAGATGTACTTTTGTACTATCCCCAATTTATTTAGAACAAGTCAACCTTCTCCATCATATTATTGATCTCAAATAAGTGTAGGGTGGTCCCAATAATTTATTTGATGTACAATTACAAAAGAAAACCCTACTCCCATTATTTAGCCTAATAATGCCAAAGATGAGACCGTAGACATTTGTATCCTTCTCCAATCATTCCATCATTCATTTATGATGTTAATATATATATAAATATATATATCTGGGCTACCAACCGTGTGGGTCACCCTCCAATGGGTCTAGGATGTCATTCCTGAATAATTACTATTTTTAGCAGGTTAGGCCCAAAATAACATTTGGGCTGCCCGACCGCTCTTACATTCTACCGATGGGTTGTATATCTTTATTTAAGGATGTTGGGCCCCAATATCAATGATATGGCCCAATTAATTATTTAGAAGTCCGTTACCATTGTATGAGTCCAAAATAGTAATATGATAAATCATACGTTCTGTAAAACTTTAATCATTTTACAATTGTTCGAAAATAGGAGAATTCAATACATAAGCTTTGAAATTAAATTTGAGTTTCCAGGACGTTCGGGTGCGGTGTCACAAAACTAGAATGAGGACATGCATGGAGTACAGAAACCAATATCAAGCAGTAATTATATGATATGAATATGTTGGCAATTTCGTTTAATTAAGAAAGTAGTAGGTATAATGAGACCCCTCTATGTACTACACTCTAGTGTACAATAGTTACATATATAAAGAGGAAAAATCACTCGCCCAGTCATAATCCTTAGAAAGAAAATCAGCTACAGTTGATTTGTGTCTTGTCAAGAGTTCCTGGTTTGAAAATTTTAGTCAGTTATAAAAACACACTGCGGAAAGTATAGGCATCAACGGTCTTGGCAGAAACCAGCCATAACAGACTGAAATAAACCAACCATTTAAAGAGTATAAGTACCTCAATTTATTCAGATGGTTGTAAGTAGTCAGAAACATATATATTGACTAGAAAATTTCAATGATAGATTACGAAACTCATTAAATATTCTCAAGTTAGCATTGTAGAATCTGGAAATAGTAAGATAAAGAATCTTTTGGTTTCATACAATAACACATCATGAAACATCAGTTCTTAACCAAATTGATTATTACTGTAAGAGAGGGATTAGTTAATGGCATTATTAGTAAATAATACCTTCATATGAGTCAATACTTGAAAAAAGTTGTAGCTTTGCATTCAATTAAGCATTACAACAAAGAGCACCGGCAAACACAAGACCACCAATTATGTCCTTTTGGCTGCATTCTTTAGAGTAAAAAGAAAAAAAGTAACAAGTTAGTATTTCATTGTTCATGTCTTAACCTCTGAGTTTAGGCAGATAGGAATTCTGACTAACTTACAATTAAAATTTTGTTTAATAGATAAGAATCATAAGACAGTAGTAAGCATATAAGCATGAATTGATATACATAGTAAATCAACCTGTGGATCAGGAGTTCAATTCCCACCGAGAGCAGTTTGAGCTCTTATATTCCCTCCCCCTGGGACCCCCCAACCTCCTCCCTGAATATTAATAAAAATCAACCTCGTTGTTAATTAGAAATACATCTTGTACTCCTCATTCAATGAATAGGTTTAGGGATAAGGTATCATTTTTAATAAAAATCAGATTAGGTTTTCAAAAAATCCTAAATTTTAGGTTAAAAGCTAAGAATTAAAATTAGAGAAGGTAAAGATAAAGGTGTGGAGAGCTAGAGTTTCCGTTCATCAACTGAAAATCCCAGAGGGAAGAAGAGGGCTCACCTATTCAGTTCGTCAATCATTAGGTTAGGTTGAAGTCGCAAGGACCTGAGGTCCTAAGCAGCGTTCGACAGTGGAGATGTCGTCTTGGCGGTGCATCAGCGAGTGGCAACGCCGTCCAGGCAGTGCGTCAGCGAGTGGCGACGCCGTTCAGGCAGTGCGTTAGCGAGTGGCGACGCCGTCCAGGCAGTGCGTCGGCGAGTGCGATGTCGTCCAAGCAATGCGATGTCGACGGTAATGAAGTCGTTACATTATACATGACAGAAGAGAGACTTGAGCTGAAGCGCAGTAGGGGAAGATTAAGGATCAGAGGTTGAGAGTGAGTTGTGCTCCTGCGAAGAGTATGTGAAGGGTTAGGGTTAAAATTCATAAAATAAACCTCATTTCAAAAAAAAAATAGTTTAATAAATTATGAATATGACCCGGTTTTTTCACCTTGAGTGTCACTATTAAATGGTGATGTTATTGTGTCAGAAATTAGTGATACTTATGTGTAAACTTTCATTTATGTCGTCAGTTTTTGACACTAAATCGAATAGTGTCACTAACGAAGTGTCACTGTAAGGCAGTTTTCTAGTAGTGTAATACTCTTCATTAGTTTATCATTAAGGACCCTATTCCGATATTGAAGAAGAAACCTAGGATGCGGCGAAATAACCTGGACTACATACTAACGACTTCTTCTCTTGTTAGTGGAAGCTCTGTGCTCTGGTTCAAATGGTAAAGTGCAAAGATGATAACCTAAAGAACAAGTTTAACGGTGTTTGTTGTAAAAGATAATTCTGTCCAGTTAATTATATTTTTGTGACCCCGAAAGTTTGGATTATCAGTGTAAAAACTTGAAGTAGGGATTATTTTTGTTTAATTGGTAGGAGTATAGATTAATCTTGTCAATTTCACCATAATTTATTTACTACTACCTTCGTCCCGTTATGATTATCCCGTTTTACCTTATCGGTCCGTCCTACTAAGATTGTCTCATACCAAATTTGGTAAAATTTGTGTGGCTCTAAATCATTTTTACTTTATTCTTACTTTATCAGTTTAATATCAACCACATAACCCATTTTTTATTAATTTGCGTGTCACTCTCTCTTGTTCCATTGTTAGCGGGACGGAGGGAGTAATATTTATGTGATAAACTGATAATTATGGAACACATTTCCATAATTATGCAACACATTTCCATTTGTTCCGATAGCTTTCTCCCTCAGGACACTTCAAAACTGTCCATACGCTCATCTCAATTTTACTGGATGGCTGCTCTCTCCGGAATCCGAAGTCATAATTTGCCTGTTTTCAAAATATTAACAACCGAGGCACTGATCATCCTGCAACACGACCAAAGGGCTACTCCTGTTCAACTCTTGCGACCCATTTCCATCTGTTCCAATAGCTTTCTCCCTCCTGAACACTTCAAAACTGTCGATACGCTCATCTCAATTTTCACAAAGCATTCCATCATTTCGGACAATCAACCAATCCTTAACTTAGGATCAAAACTCACTCCTAAGATCGTTGAATCTGTTCTAAGAAGCCTCAAGAGTTGGAGGGCTTCCCGAACTTTTTTCAACTGGGCTTCGAACCAATCTGGATACAACCACAATCCATACACCTTCAACGCCATGGCTGAAATCCTTTCACGTGCTCGACAAATTGACTCACTGAGAATCTTGTCCACCGAGTTAGTAAATTCCGGATGTTATATGAGTCCTGGGGCATTAGGTTTCTTTTTGAGGTGTTTGGGTAGTCAAGGGCTGGTTGAGGAGGCTATTACGTTGTTTGATCAGTTAAAAAGTTTGGGCCTTTGCATCCCGAATATGTATACTTATAGCTGCTTGTTAGAGGTCATTTCTAACTCCAGTAATGTTTTAATGATGGAGATGAAGTTGATTGAGATGAGCAATCAGGGATGGGCGTTGGACAAATATGCATTAATCCTTGTCTTGCGTTGTTACTGCAATGCAGGGAGGTTTGGAAATGCTTTGAGCATTTTCAACCAGATGCAGGAGAAGGGATGGATGGATGCCCATGTGGCATGTATCTTGATGGTTTCGTTTACCCAGTGTGGGGAGGTGGGCAAGGCATCTGAGTTGTTTCAGAGGATGGAGAAACTCAATATAAACATGGGTGAGAAGACATTTTGTGCATTGATTCACGGTTTTGTGAAGGCGGGCAACATGGAGAAGGCACTGCTACTATTGGATAAAATGAGGAGACGGGGTTTTTCACCAGGTGTTTCTATCTATGGTGCCTTGATGGGAGGACTATGCAGGAATAAAGATACTGATAGAGCTTTACAGTTATTTAGAGAGATGAACAAATCTGGTCTCAACTGGGATGTTAAGTTTCTTTCTGAGCTAATGTCTTCTCTGGCTAACGAGAGTGAGATGACTTGGTTACTAGGGAAGACATGGACTTTGAATATGGATTTGAAAGAAAAGAACCTGCTTTACAATTCATTTCTGAAAAGTCTAATAAATAAAGGTTTAACTGATAAAGCTCATCATCTACTCCGAGCAGCAGCAGGTATGGAATATGACAGTAGTTTTACTGATGAAAATAAACTTTTCTTTTTGAAGAAATTTGTTCACCCAAAAACCTCATCTTTTGAAATTGTCATAGATGGTTTGTGCAAGTCTGGTAAATTAGAAACCGCTCTTTCCCTCTTGCATGATATGGATCTAATTGGTTTCACGTGCAGTGTGCTTCTGTACAATACCCTAATTGACTGTCTAAGTGGCTTTGACCGGTTGGATGAATGCCACAGGCTTCTGATTAAAATGAATGAGGCGGGGCTCAACCCAACTCATTTCACGTACAATTCCATTTTTAGAAGCTTGTGTAGGCAAGGAGATGTTGATCGGGCTCTTTGTTTGGTTAGGGAAATCCGTGTGAATGGTCACGAGCCTTGGATAAAGAACTACACGTTGCTTATCAAGACACTTTGCCAAGATGGAAAAGCACTCATGGCGCGTGATTTCCTTGCTGAAATGGTGAAAGAAGGCTTCCCCCCTGATGTGGTTGCTTACTCATCAGCCATAGATGGCCTTCTTAAAATTCAGCAACTGGATGATGCTGTGGAGCTTTTCAGAGAGATCTGTGGACGTGGTTATTACCCTGACGTGGTTGCTCATAACGTAATACTGAAGGGTTTGTGCAAAGCTGGAAGATTAATGGAAGGTCAAGATCTTTTTAATGAGATGCTAAGTAAGGGGCTTGTTCCATCTACTGTTACTTACAACTTACTCATTAATGGATGGTGCAAAAATGGATCTATTGATCAAGCTGTCCTAATTTATTCAAGGATGCTTGACAATCAACAGGAACCGAATGTTATCACTTACACTACTTTAATAGATGGATTGTGCCATGCCGGAAAACCATATGAAGCTGTGAATCTTTTGTTTGAAATGGAGAGCAGAAGGTGCTTCCCGAGCAGAATTACCTTCATGGCTTTGATCAATGGGCTTTGCAAGTGCAGCAAGCCAGATGATGGCCTGGTTTATTTGCAAGAAATGGAAAAGAAGGATCTGGAACCTGATGTCTTCATCTACGTAGTGCTGATTAATGCTTTTATATCTGCATCCAATCCCGACACGGGCTATGCCTTATTAAGGAGGGTGGTCCAGAAGGGAAATTGGTCAGATTTACGTGACAACAAGCACCATCTAATTCTTAAAGATGCAATACTAAACATGTCCATGGATCCAAGAACTTCATCTGAGGTCAAAGTTTTAATTCAAGATGGTTGCATCCCTCAGCATCTCATTATTTCAGAAATTGGCCAACCAGAGACGTGACACCAGTGGAAGTGTTAATGCGTGTCTGGTAATTGTTATTTGGCTGAAAATGTTGAAACTGTTCATATTTTCTTTTCTCATTTTTTAAATAAATACTGTTATGTAATATATACCTCAGCTAAATTAGTTAGTAATTAAAACCCAAAATTAATATGAAAAAATGGCACCCGTATCTGTATTTGACTTTCATTTTCCAAAACCATGACCATTATTCCATATTCCAAAATTATGACTAAAGTACTTCCGTCTGCACAGTGCTCCAACAACAAAGCCTCTCCGCACCCGTCCGCACAACTTCTTCCTTTCAAAGGGTTCCGCTTCTCTGCTCCGATCTGCGAGTTTCCGCATCGCCCTTCCTCCGCAGCACATCGTCCTTGGACCTCTCCATTGAAGCACTGCAGGTCGAAACTTCGTCCCGCGCCACCACCGCAGGTCCATACCTTCATCCCGTGCCACCATCACCGAAGCTACAACAACCGGCCAATCGATCTCACATCGTCGCCTACCTCCACCCTCGAGCCTCTCATCGCCACGTCTTCATCTCTGCTTCTTCTCCTTTCTTTCTCCCAACCTATCGCAGTCAAAGATTTAGATCTGGATGGTCCATTCGATCTAGAGTATCTCACCGATGGCTATGGTTAATTAGGGGTTGCAGCACAGCTAGGGTTCGGAGGCAGCATGATTGGGAGCATCGAAACAAGGTGGGGGCAACGTTGGGATGGTGGTGGGGGCTGCGAGGTGGCTGGAGCATCATAGGCGAGTTTGAGAGGGGGTTATGGTTTGGGTTAGGGTGGGGGCTAGGGCTAAGGAGGGGCAGGGTGGCGGCGGCGGTTTTTGGATGGGCGGCGTCTACTGAAGGGTGACAGTGGTGGTCGAAGGTGTTGGTCGCCGGCAGTGGTGGCCGGAGGTGTTGGTCACAGGCAGTGTTGGCCGCAAGTGGTGAGTATGAGACTAAGTAATTGTGAGTATTTGGACCGGGTTTGTAATTGATAAGTGTCGTGTCACTGTGGTCGGTGGAGCAGCAGTCATGGTGGCTGGTAGGTATCAGTCACGGTGGCCGGAGTCATAGAAGCCAGATTCACCGTGATCGGAGTCACTGTGATCGGAGACTGGTGACATAGTCACTGTGACAACGGAGTCACCGACGGCGGACTCACTTTGAGAAGAGTCACTTTGTATTGTAGGATTTAATTGTAGTGTTAATCATATTTTTGGAATTTTTAAAATGTGGTCACTTTTTTTGTCGTTCTTTTTTTAGTAATATCTAGGCCAAAAGACCAATTAATATCTAACTATTCGGCCAGTACTGAAGGACCCTCAGGAATGGAGTGTCATTACATGCACCAAATAAAGTTCAGAAAACAAGACAAAGACAAAGGAACAAAATTTAGTTTTTTAGCTAAGTAAGACTCACCCAAGCCCGTAAAATAATATAATTTGTCAAAATAGTTTTCATACATAAGAATAGTTCGAAAATCACTAGTTTTCCAAAATACTTCACTTGTCCTGAAAAACATTAGTTACGCTTTAGTAAAATACTACTACCTCTGTCCCCCTAATATCTGGACGGTAGAGAATGGTGTGAATTTTAAAAAAGTAGAATTATGTGATTGATAATGAGTTAATAAAATGGAAATAAAACAAGAATAAAATAGAGCCACACAATTGTTACCAAATATGGTATTGAACAATAATATAGGAACATCCAAAAATGGGAAAATGGGACAATTATAAGGGGCGGAGGGAGTAGTAAATTCAAAAGCTATCATATCTTAGTCAAAAGCATCTATATTCATTCCATTCTCATAAACTTGAAACTAATTATTATAATCACAGGGTAGTAAAACATTTCTTTGAAACATGCTCATTCTCGGGTAGATCTCAAAATCAATCAAGTCCCTTGTCTAAAAATAACTTCATAGCTCAAATAACTTTTTTAAGCTCTTAAACAAATCACATCTCCCTTTAAGAGCAAAGAATCACTTTCACAAATATCAACTTTCAAAAATCTCTCTTCACAAAAATTATGACTTTCTAAATATATCATTCTTCAAAAGTATAACATCCCCAAAGTAGCTTTCATACCTAAAATATCATTTAAGCTTTGATTAAACCGTATCTCCTTATAGGAGTAAAATCCTTCTTTCTAAAACAGTATCCAATAATATTCCATCAAAATAATTTTAATTAAAATAATATTCTTTATCATCCACATTTATTTAGTCTCACAACAAAAGATGAAGCAGATTTTCCCAAATCAGACCAGATTTGACTATATCCCAGTCTTTCATGTCAAGAGGGGCCAGCTTTCACCTCAATGGAATGAAGATGGGTGGTACACTGACCAATGAGGAACAATAAATCTGCTGCATTCATGTTTAAAATATACACTCAATGATATGTGAAAATATAGCAGCAATATAACAGTCACATTGTTAGTAACACTGTATTTTCTAAGGAACAAGAATTGCAAAAACAATTGATATAGATCTTCTTGAGCCCAGGTCATAGAAGCCTCAACTTTGTCTCATCAGAAATCCAGAAACAGTGAACAGTGGCAGATGCGAATATCTCCGCTAACTGTTTCCAGAAGAGGGGACTTCTGCACTACAGACAGGACACACCTGCATGCATGAAAATCATAATACCCCTTTTATCATCAGAACCTTAACACCAAAAGACAGTGAACCAATCATGTAGGCTAGATATCTATGATGTTTTTTCATTAAAAAAATCTGCATATTTGATTTTTTTAGATCACACTCCAATTGTTAATCAGAAGTATCATTCTGGTTTGCCTTTTTTATATTTAACTAATTCTGCTTTCACTCCCCTTTGGTTGATTTTTGGAGTGCTACTTTTACCTTCGCATCCCCTAACGTAGCAGCAAGAGAACTAGACAAGAAGAAGCTGAGAAAAGGATTGAGACAATGAAGAATAGAGATGATACACAAATGTGGTGTACCTTGTTTATTCTTAGCCAGATATTTATACATTCAGGATGATATGAATGTTTGCATGAAAGCACTGTCAAGGTCTCATCATTTTCATAGTCCAATCGACATATGACACATCTACAAAAATACAATAACTTTAACACAAGATCTTAACTTGAAAAGTAAAATATGAGATCGAGTGCTCACGTATCATTAAACCCGTCTTTGGTAATTTCTGCTTTGTAATTCATTGATGGCAAAGAGGCAATTGTATGTGGAGAAAGTCCCCTGGTCTCTGTTCCAACTACTTCACCCAATGCAATCAATTCCTGCAATACGTCAAAATAATTGGGAGACTAGACCATTATACATTAAGAACATTATAAGTTCAAATAAATTAAACTGTTAAACATTCCAAATTTACCTCATAGGAGAGTTCATCTGGATCAACTTCCTCCCATGCATCCTGAAAAATGATACTCCGTATTTAAAAGATCCATACGTTAGGTTATGGCACAAGATTTAAGGGAAAATAGTAGGGGTAAGGAATAGTATAGAAAAAGTAGGAGATAAGGTGAAAAAGTAGGAAAGAGAGGATAAAAAATAGAAAAGTAAGGGTAATAGAGTATTTTTAAAGGAAAAACTTACCAAAAAGGGAAAGTGTATGGAACTTTTAAATGCATCCCAAAATGGAAAGTGTATGGAACTTTAAAATACGGAGGGAGTATATAAGATGTATTTTGTGAATTCACACAACCATTGGCATGCTTTCTTTTTTTAGTTCGTTCTACACTAATGTTGATTACCCGGATTCCTAAATCGAACACCATCAACATTTTACTTTTTCCACCTCACCTTTTAAACTGATGACTGTAGGACCTACTTGAGGGTCAAAACTATGAAAATACATAACATTTTGTGTGTTTTAAGTTACAAATTACACTAGAAGTAATATATTGGCATGTGATTGCGACAACCACATGGGTAATTAAAAGCACTGCCTTCCACGTGAATTCAGGCAAAACAGACAAGCGTCAACTTCTATTCCATTAATCCCACATCAGGATTCCTAAAAAAGAATTGACATGTCAGACTGATGTGTTCATAGAGCGCCAATACCACCGTAAAAAGTGGAAAGTAAAAAAATCAGCAAACCACACATACAAATATCACAAATCTGGAGGACCAATAAATCAGGGATTGGAGAATCTTTGGAGATCCCTAGTATTATTTACTAGACAAGTCTGATAGGGAGCAGCAGCTTGACTTGGAGAAGGAGAGGCCGAGACCACTGCTGGTCTACCGAAGGCGGGGACGGGCTTGAGCCCACCTTCGTGGGTTGGGTTCTTTTATAATAGACTTTTAATTTATAATTATTCTGTTGTTTCTTTGATTGGGCCTGGAGAGTATCTTTTAATTTCTGTTGTTTCTTTGTTGGGCCTGGGGAGTATCTTTTAATTATTATTATGTTATTCTTTAATTACGGTATTTATATCCCTAATTAGGGTTTAGTGAGAATAATCAAGAATATTGAAGTTTTGGATTTTCTGCTTTCATCAATTGGTCCGACCTGCCGGATCCCGTTTCCGCCGGAATGACTAGATCTAATACCGAGCATTTGACGGAGGTGGAGGCCGAACAGGCCTCGATGAATCAGAAATTGGATGCGCAGAGTGCGCAACTGGCTGAGATCGCAGCCTCCTTGGTTGCGCTCACGACGGCGTTCGCGCAATTGACGGCTGGAGGGAAGACTTCAGCGGCGACTTCTCAGAACGAGACATCGGCAACTTCGTTTGAGCCAAGGCAGCGTGGCGCACAAGACATGACGCTTCCTTCGTTTGACGGAGAGGATCCCGTTGGTTGGATCGCTAGGGCCGAGCAGCAGTTCGAGTTGAATTGCACTCCGCCGGAAAGGAAGGTAGCAGCAGCTGTAGTGGCAATGGAAGGGGCAGCCTTGTACTGGGTAACCTGGTTAAGGACGCGAAAGCCTAGCATTACGTGGGAAGAGTTCACGCAGGGGCTGGTGGCGAGCAGTCGTTTTTATGAATGGATTTAAGGGCAGTCGTTTCGAGCGATTGTCCGGGGTCAAGCAGACAGGGACGGTGGAGGAGTACATCTCGATTTTTGTCCAGTTAGCGAGTCAGGTCCCAGGGTTGTCTGACGATCATTACCTCGGGTATTTTATGAATGGACTAAAGGGGCCGATTCGGGGTTCGTTGCGGTTGTTGCGCCCGAATAGCTTGGAGACAGCCATGGAACTAGCCAGAGACGTAGAAGACAATCTGTCCTTTCAGAATGGAGGACGAGGGAGTCAGTCATACAACAATGCAGGGACACGTTCGGGGGGTTTTCCTCGACCAAGTGGGAGTAGCAACATGGCCGCAAGTGGCAGCAGCATGAGGGGCTCGAGTAGCAGCGGGCTCAAGGCTCCTGGACAGGTCGCGGGGGCACAATCAGGGCTGTCTGGGCAGTCTACGGCACGTTCCAAGTTCACTCGGCTTCCGCCAAGAGTGTTAGAAGAATTGCGGGCAAAGGGATTGTGTTTTAAATGCAAGAAACCCTTCACCCCAGGGCACGACTACCCGTTAAAGCAGTTACGAGTGTTGTTAGCAGAGGAGGACGAGGAGTTGGACCTCCAACAACATGACTTTTGTGACATAACCGGACAGGAAGATGTTCCAGAGGATCGACATGGATCAGAGGGAGATGAAGGAGATTTTACAGTCTATTCTATGGCTGGAATTTTCAGCCCTAGAATGATGAGACTTCAAGGGGTGGTTGCGGGTTGCACTGTAACAATTTTGATAGACAGTGGCGCAAGTCACAACTTTATTTCTTCGTCCCTGGTCTCCCTATTGCGATTGAAACCGGACAGGACAGGCAGATTTGGGGTGCAGTTGGGAGATGGTCATAGACAGGAGTCGGATGGGGTGTGTAGACAACTTCCTATCGCGTTGCCGGGGTGTGCTATCGCCGCAGATTGTTATGTTTTTGCTTTGGTGGGGGTGGATATCATTCTAGGCGTGGATTGGTTGGCCACATTGGGAGAATTCCGGACAGATTGGAAGAAATTAACCATGAACTTCGAGGTGGGGGGCAAGCGAGTAGAGTTACGAGGTGATCCCGGGATGAGCAGGAACATGGTCAGCCTTCGTACCTGTGAATTATATGAACTGTATTTCATTATAATGAATCTTAATATGAAGAACTATACAAGTAGCTATATTTATAGCAAAAACTAGAGCACTAGGGTTACTATACAAGATGGGCTAAGCCCAATACAACTAGGGTTTCAACACTCCCCCTCAAACTGGAGCATATAAATTATATGCACCAAGTTTGTTACAAATATATTGCATCCTAGGTCCTCTAAGAGACTTGGTTAAAATATTTGCAAGTTGATCTGTTGTTTTGACATAATGAGTAGTAATATGTCCATTTGTGATTTTTTCTCGTATAAAGTGACAATCAACTTCAATGTGTTTAGTCCTCTCATGATACACTGGATTGGAAGCAATGTGCATTGCAGCTTGATTATCACACATTAGCTTGACGGGTTTCATGCTTCCGTATTTTAATTCTTGGAGGAGATGCTTCAACCATAATATCTCACATGAAGTAAGGGCCATGGCACGATATTCTGCTTCAGCACTAGACCTGGCAACCACATCCTGTTTCTTACTTTTCCAAGAAATTAAATTCCCACCAATCAAAATGCAATATCCAGAAGTAGAACGTCTATCCATTGGACATCCAGCCCAATCTGCATCACAATATCCAACAATGTCACGGTGCCCTCGATCTTCAAAGAGTAATCCTTGTCCTGGAGTTTTCTTGATGTATCTCAAGACTCGGATAGCTGCGTCCCAATGTCCATCACATGGCTTATCAAGAAATTGACTAAGTACATTGACAGCAAATGAAATATCTGGTCTTGTGATGGTAAGATAGTTCAACTTCCCAATAAGCCTTCTATATCTCTCTTTATTGGGCAGGAGGTCACCTTGTTCTGACACGAGTTTGACGTTTGGATCCATTGGTGTATCCACTGGCCTACAATCCAACATACCTGCTTCCTCAAGAATATCCAATGCATATTTCCTCTGTGAGAGCACAATTCCATTTCTTGATTGGGCAACCTCAATACCAAGAAAGTACTTTAGTTTTCCCAAGTCTTTTGTTTGAAATTTGCTAAAAAGATATTCCTTGAGTTGGGCAATTCCTTGGTCATCATTACCTGTAATGACAATGTCATCAACATATACAACAAGAAAGATACATTTATTGCCTGCAGAATGTCTATAGAATATGTAATGATCTACATCACTCCGAGTCATGCCAAAACCACGAACAACAACACTAAATCTCCCAAACCATGCACGCGGGGATTGTTTCAGGCCATATAAAGAACGACGTAATCTGCAAACCAAACCAGACTCCCCCTGAGCAACAAAACCAGGTGGTTGCTCCATATAAACTTCCTCATGTAAATCACCATGGAGAAATGCATTCTTAATATCCAATTGAAATAATGGCCAGTGGTTCATTGCTGCCATGGATAAAATTAGACGAACAGATGCAATTTTTGCAACAGGAGAAAAGGTGTCAGTGTAATCTAATCCATAGATTTGTGTATACCCCTTTGCAACCAGACGTGCTTTAAGACGATCAATGTTGCCATCTGGTCCTACTTTGACTGTGTAGATCCAGCGGCACCCAACAACTGATTTCCCAATAGGAAGGGGAACCAAGTCCCATGTCCCACTAGAATGTAAAGCCTCCATTTCAGCTAACATAGCTCGACGCCACTCGGGGTGTGATAATGCCTCATGTGTGGTTTTAGGAATACAGACACGAGATAAATGTGAAGTGAAGGCAAAGTAAGGGGTGGAGAGGCGATGATAACTTAAAAAGTTATAAATGGGATGAGGATTCAAAGTTGAGCGTGTACCTTTGCGGAGGGCTATGGGCAAATCATCATGATTGTTCTCTGGCACTTGGGTAGCTGACTGTGCTGGTGTGGGATCCAAAGTAGGGGAATCAACAGGCGTGACCTCAGAGGACTCATTGGGTGGAGGGCGAGGGCGTCGTTGATACACTTGTAATGGACGGGTTGTTGGTGGAGATGGGTCGATAGGAGCATCGGTAAGGGGGGTGGAGATGGGTCTGAGATATGGAAGAAAGTCAACACATGAGGGGGTATCATGGAGGGGAGATGGGTAATAAAACGAGGACTCAAGGAAAGTGACATCAGCGGACACAAAATGTTTTCTAAGTACCGGGGAATAACAACGATACCCCTTTTGAAGACGGGAATATCCAAGAAAGATACATTTGATTGACCTAGCAGACATTTTGGGTATTCCTGGTGTGGTATCATGGACAAAGCAAACACACCCAAACACATGAAGTGGTAATGAAAAAAGTGCCTGAGTAGGAAACAAAACAGAATGGGGAATGGCATTACCAATAACCGATGAAGGCATTCTGTTAATGAGGTGGCATGCAGTGAGAACGGCATCTGCCCAATATTGTGGTGGTGAATGTGAATGTAACAACATAGTACGGGCAGTTTCAATTAAATGTCTATTCTTGCGTTCAGCAACCCTATTTTGTTGAGGTGTATAAACACAAGAAGACTGATGAAGCATACCTCGTGATGTCATGAATTGATTAAAGGGACTGGTAAAAAATTCCTTAGCATTATCACTACGTACAATCTTGATAGAACGCCCAAATTGGGTGTGAATTTCAGCCCAAAACTTTTGAAAGATATGAAACAATTCAAGACGTTCTTTCATTAAAAACAACCACGTGTGACGGGAGAAGTCATCCACAAAAATGACAAAATAACGAAACCCTAGGGTAGAATTGAACTCGATACGGACTCAGCCCTGTTATTGACACGTCTTGGAAAGGACTGACGAGGTTGCTTTCCAAGATGACACGACTCACAATCTAAAAAGGAAATACTGGAGAAACGTGGGACCATACGTCGAAATTTGGAAAGACTGGGATGACCCAAACGATTATGTAAGGAAAGTGCTGGTTCAGTAGACACACAAACAACCGGATCAAGAGGTTGGAGGTGATACAAGCCCTGAGATTCACGCCCGACGCCAATCATCTTCCCCGTACAACGGTCCTGCACAGTCACAGAGTCAGCATAAAAGGTTATAGAACAATTAAGAGAGCGTGTAATTTTGCTAACAGAGACAAGGTTAAAAGGGCTACGAGGAACATATAGAACTGAATCTAATGGTAAGGATGAAAGTGGGAGTGCTTGCCCAATACCCGTAGCCGAAGTGTGAAGACCATTGGCTAGAGTGATTAATGGAAGGTTTTAGTATTTTGTAATATGGGATAAAAGATGGGGATTACCAGAAATATGATCGGAAGCACCTGAGTCAATGATCCATGAGCTAGTTGTGTTTGACACACATGCTGTAGAAGTACCTGATGTTGACGAAGTCAAAGTGGACTGTTTAAATTTCTGATAAGCATCATATTCGTCAGGAGGCAGCACAACTGGAACTTGCGGGATTTGGGCAACATTGGCAGAGCTGGGAGGTTTACCATGTAACTTCCAACACCTATCTTTAGTATGACCCATCCTATGACAAAAATCACACTTGGGACGATTACGGCGTGGATATCCTTTGTGATTTCCCCCATCATGCCCGGAACCTTGAGATGCAAGAATGATAGAATCACTTGAAGATGCGTCAACAGATATTGGGGCGGCTCGAAGAATTCTGGAAAAGGCTTCAGACATTGTAAGAACAGAAGAACTGGAGAGAATTTGCTCACGGATTGATAACAACTCCGGGCGAAGACCTGCTAAGGTTAAAACCATAACAAGTTGTTGTCTTTGCTCAAGTTGTTTCTCCTTATCCTCAGTGATAGGTTGAATATTATTATATTCAAACAGTAATGCCTCAGCCCGTCCTAGAAACTCTTGAATGTCCAAATCCTGTTGTTTGAGCGTAGCAATTTTGGAACCAAAGGAAAACAGATTTTGGATGTCATTTGTGTAGTTGGACTTCGCTTTTTCCCAAATCTGTTTGCATGTGCGATATGATTGATAAGTAGGATGAAGTTTTGGATCCATAGATTGCCATAACACGTTACACAATAAGGCATCCATGTTCTCCCAGTCATTCCGCTTGTCTTTGATCGTAGCTGCATCGACATTCAAGTGATCAATTTGACCTTGACCCTTGAACCACATCTCCACGGAAATAGCCCATGACTGATAATTAATACTTCCAGCTAGTCGATCGGTGGTGATGATTGGAACCGAAGCAAACGAAGAGAAACTTGACATTTTTTTTTCTTTTTTTTCTTTGTTTTTTTTTTGTTTTTTTTTTGTTTGTTTTTTGAACAAATAAAAGATCAGGCAAATCAGTAAAGCGGAACAGTAAGCTCAAAAATAAAACAAAATGGAAGAACTACTACTATGACCAGTGGAAAAAGCAGCAGCAGAAGTCTGCTCAGAAGGCAGTGACGGTGGTGGAGCAAGGCAGTGACGGTGGTGGAGCGTCTGGACCGGCGGCGCGTTCTGGCGGTCAGTTCGCCCGGCGGCGGCGCGTGTGGATGCGGCGGCGCGTGGAGAGGCCTAGGCGTACCAGACTTGCTGGTCTAGGTCGTCGGAGACCTAGGTGTCTGAAAACACTGGCGGTGTCGCTCGCAGATGAGTAAAAACGGAGTAGATCTGCAAAATCGGTCAGTAAACAGTGGGTAGAGAAGCGGCGCGTGTAGGCGCGTGAATGAGTCCGAGCTGGTACGGTTTCCGGCGGGTTGGTCGCAATGGTGCGCTGAGCAAGGCGGTAGGCGTAGATTTGATAAATCACTACCGGAAATGCTACAACACCTAGTGCGGCTACTGTTCACGCCGGAAAAACAGTCCTAACTACAGTGCGACGCCTAAAACAGTCTCTGATACCATGTGAATTATATGAACTGTATTTCATTATAATGAATCTTAATATGAAGAACTATACAAGTAGCTATATTTATAGCAAAAACTAGAGCACTAGGGTTACTATACAAGATGGGCTAAGCCCAATACAACTAGGGTTTCAACAGTACCCTTCTAAAGACCACTGAAGTGGAGTTGTGGGCGGTGCTTCTAATCTACGAAACTACCAGACTTCC